TACGCTTTTATTATCATTGGTTTAGTTAAAAATAACTTGTTTTTTACGCGGTAAACATTGGACAACAGTGGTTGTTTCAAAGTTGCCCTTTTTTTTAAATGACCATAGAACCTTAAAACATAGTTTTTTTGTTATGAGTTTTTAAATTAAAATAGGTTAATACTAAAATATCATAAAAATATATAAAACTTGAAATTTTCAAAAAGTGGACATCTGTGGTTTTACCCGTGTGGTCTTCATATATATATATATATATATATATATATATATATATATATATATATATATATATATATATATATATATATATATATATATACATATATATAGTTATATTACATATATATATATATATATATATATATATACATATATATAGTTATATTATATATATATATATATATATATATATATATATATATATATATATATATATATATATATACATATATATATATATATATATATATATATATATATATATATATATATATATATATATATATATACATATATATAATATAACTATATATATGTATATATATATATATATATATATATATATATGTAATATAACTATATATATGTATATATATATATATATATATATATATATATATATATATATATATATATATATATATATATATATATATATATATATATATATATATATATAATAGAACTATATATATATATATATATATATATATATATATATATATATATATATATATATATATATATATATATATATATATATATATATATATAAAACGCCTCGGATTCCTATGGGAAAATATTAAATATATTAAAAATATATATATATATATATATATATATATATATATATATATATAATATATATATATATATATATATATTTTTAATATATTTAATATTTTCCCATAGGAATCCGAGGCGTTTTTATATATATATATATATATATATATATATATATATATATATATATATATATATATATATATATATATATATATATATATATGTATATATATATAGTTATATTATATATATATATATATATATATATATATATATATATATATATATATTATATATATATACATATATATATATATATATATATATATATATATATATATATATAATATATATATATATATATATATATATATATATATATATATATATATATATATATACATATATATAGTTATATTACATATATATATATATATATATATATATATATACATATATATAGTTATATTATATATATGTATATATATATATATATATATATATATATATATATATATATATATATATGTATATATATATATATATATATATATATATATATATATATAGTTTATTATTGAACTTTAGGGAAAATCTTTAATTTGTATTATCTTTTGTGTAACTAAACATTTAGCGTAAATAATGAACTCGGTTTTTACTGTTTAATTTGATATAGAGGTTTTGATATACCATCTTAACTTTTCAGTGTTTAATTTGATATAGAGGTTTTGACATTCCGTCTGAAAATTGCCGGTAGTCATACATTCTTCTTTATCTTTGTATGAGTTAATGGTGAAGGCAATTTCACTAAGTTGAGACTTAGTAAGATACTGTTCTAATGATTAAGAAGTTAGATTTAGATATTGTTCTAATGATTCAGAATTATTTCTGCATGAAGTAAGATAAACTCCAATAAAAATAAAAAAACTGTTGTCATATGAACCTTTTGCAAGAATGTGTTCATCTTTGTGTATTACGTGAAAAGAAAGCATTAAGTTTTTACGAACTAAAAATGCTTTTTCCCCAAAAGGTCTTCCGTATTCTTTCTTTTCAGCAGAGTAAAAAACAATTGATGTGTCAGAGCTGATAGATCATGCAAAATAAATCGCTCGGCATTTGAAAGCCAGTGCTTGGATAGAAAAGTTATACCAAAAGAGTTAATTAAGGTAGAGATATAGCATGATTTTGATTTCTGACAGTTATACGCACAAAGACTCAAGCTACAACTATTTGAATTTATTGCGCGTTCATCCATTGTGATTTCTAATTCAGAGACATGGCACAAACTGCATTTAGTTGATGTTCCACATCCGATTGATTAACGACGTCAGATTGACATTTAGTTTCTGAGTTGTTATTTTGAAGCATCATTTCAGTTCCTAGGTTTTAACGATATGCTACTTTGAAAGAGCGGTTATATTTATTTTACCGGTTGAGTGTGACAGCAATCGTCTAAACGCCTTTTTCCTTCTCTATGTAGTTACGCAAAAGAGCTTCTGATAAGGAATTACAAACTCCTCGAACAAATATAATGATATAATAATAAAATATAATGAATTCTTGAACAGCACGGCTTCCTGCAATAGAGTTTCTGTTCTTAGCTATTTTATTCCCAAAGATTGGTTATTTCTTTGATGTAGATACGCCCGGTTTTAAATAATAATTTTTTCTTTCTTCCAAACAATCTTGATCAATACTTTTACGTTCAATTGTTTTTAGGACTGTTATACTTATTATTATTATTATTTTCTATTAAACACCCAGTAAAAAAATTACAGGTAAATTAATTTATATTAAAACAGTTACAAATTAAATTAAGGCCAGTCTCAGCTCTCCAAATATTTGTCTTTAATGCCAATAACTAGACCGACTAGACTGTTAGATATATTTTAGAAATATTCTCCTCCATCATTCTTTAAAATTTTTTTCTTTGTTCTTTCAAGTTCCATAATTGGAACGCTTCTTTTAATATTGATTAGTGTCAGCTTGCAGTTCTTCTTGAGGTAGTGTGAATTTAATTTTTTTACCTTCTATCATGCATTGTTCCATTGTTCAAGCCACGAGTTTTACATATGTTCGAGTTTTACATATGCTCAAGCCACAAGTTTTACATATGTTCAAGCCACGAATTTTATATATAGCAATCACTTCGTTTATAAATGATTTTTTATTTTGTGTTGCCAGTAATTGACTAATTATCAGCGAATAGCAGGTTTGATTTTTCATTAGCCTAATTAGTATGTTTACTTTATTTCGAAGAAGAGTAGTTGAAATATCTTTTTTCTTTAAAAAAGAATTTAGGTAAATTTTGCTATTCTTTGAAATACTAAAAAATGATTTTAAAACTGCTCTTCCAACAGCGTCTATGTTTCTTAGAAAACTGATGTCGTAGTTGCATAGCTCAAGGCCATATATAAGCTTTGGCACTGTCAAGGTATTGTATAAATGAACTATTGTTGACGGCTGACAAAAACGAATTCCACTGTCAATTAGAGCTATTGCAACCGATTGAAACTTCGTTATGCGTTCATTTAGGTTTGTTTTTTGATGTGCTGAGATTTTGTTTTTGTTGGTATTGTTATCCCATTGGAAACCCTGGTGTTTTAATTTATTTTGGAGATGTATATAAGTTCCGTTAATTTGAATAATGTTATTGGAAATTGAACTTTTACCAGAGATTAAAAATTCCGTTTTCTCGGTGTTTAGCTTGATAAAGTTTAATATTCCATATGTTTGAAATCTGTCAATCAGTTCTTGCAGACCAGAGATTGTTGGAAAAATTACATCATCTAGGTATGCAATGACACAAGTATAGATGCTATTTATCGTTGACCCTACTTTACATTCTGAGACTATTTTATTTATGTGGATATTGATATGTGGATGTTAATATTATGGTATTATGGTTTGCTATTTTGGGTGGTATTTTATTTTTTTGTGCATAAGTTTCACCTGTTACATTTGGTTTTAATTTTTCTCTACGGTGAAGGATGGATTTGTTTTAAGTTGGGTATGATTTTGAGTTAAGGAACGAAAGTTTATTGAATTTGTAACAATAGAATTTTCTATAGGTTTTTTAAGAAACGACGAGTTTGTGGCGTAGTTTAGAAACAGCTGTTGCTGATTTTTTATAATTTCAGAGTTTGATTTTCTGAGTTCATCGTATTTCCCATACAGTATACGAAAATCTTCCCGAATTTTTACATTATCTGATTGCAGTGTCTTTAAGCGGTCATTAAGTTCTCTTAAATTTGACAAGATGTTAATGTCTGATACATTTGTAGTTATTTTTTCTCTTTTTGAAATATTGATTAGTTTAGTAAGCTTTTTGTTAAGCTGTTTTTTCCTCAAAGAGATAGATAGTAAATAAATGTCATCCAAAAATGTAAAGACCATGTACCTTTTTCAAATATTTTTCTTAGAAAATTGTTTTAATTTAAAGCATTCTAGGATCTCCCTAAACAGAAAACTTCTACGACAAAATATATCTTCATTAGAGTTTAGAAAATCCATTAATGTTTACATTTTTAAAATGGGAGCAAGTTTCTTTTATATTACTAATATGGTTTTCTACAAGATTCTTATTACTATTTAGAAACAAAAATAACTCAACAATTTCTCTCAGCACCATTTTAGCGTAACATTTATTTTTTTATTCTAAACATTATATAACATTATATGTAATATAACGTTTGTTTTTTATCGTATAATAAGTTCAAAAAATTTGAAAATGATCAAATAACATTACAATGTATTTCATATCAAATGTTCATTAGATTATATAGTTAGTTTTTGTACCATCAAAACTTGACTTGTTTGATTTCTTTAGTTTTTATAAATATTATAAGTGCTTGATTATTGTCGTTATTTGATTTTTCTTTTATATTGTTCGACCAATAGTTTTTTGCAAAACAAAATGTAAAGAAGCATATTCGATTTGTTACCCGTTGCATGTTGAAGAAAGTTCTCATGGTTTCATTCAAAATGGGCTAAAAAAAATTCAGAAAATGTTTGTTACGCAATATTTAACTTCTAACGCCAAACGATGTACAATTAAATTATATGCAAAGTTTATACTTAAAGTTAGGTTGTAGTTGTTCTTATTTATATGTATTTTTGTTAAAAAAATTCTGTTTTTAATTTATAGGTCAAAGAAGACAGTTACCAATGACAGCACCAACAACAAGAACAACAGCAGTTTTTGGTAACATTTTACTTAACTGCTATACATATATAAATGGTAGTATTATTCAATGATTATTCTTGTGAACTGGTGTTAAAATACTACATAATTTTAGAATTTTATTCAATTCTGCTTTGAAACCGTTTGTTAATTTTGCCAAAACAACTTGTTTAGGTAACTAACTCCATGATTTGATAATGTGATTGGTAAATAACTGATGAGGATTGATCACAGCTGCGCATAAATCATTATATTATTTTAACGTATAGCTCTGGTTATTTATGCTTTGAGAGTTAACTTGAGTGGGTATTTACGTGTTAGGGGCAAATATAAGTTTTTTAAAACTTTAAGCCATTGTCTTTTTTGCCCTTATTCTTACTTATGACTTTTAAAGAATTTTCAACTGTTTTGTACTATTGCTAATAAACCTGCCCTTTAAAGTACAACTTTGTAACATTTGTACAACTTTTTATTATTGGATATATAAATATATAATTAGAGAGGAAGGGGTTCTACCTGGAAATTCAAATTAATTTTTTATATTTTATATTTCCCGTTACCCAGGAAAATTACCATAATATAGCGGGAAGAAACTATAAACAAAGAATCACTTGTGTATATATTTTATAATATTATGTTATTTATTTAAAACAAAAGTATATAACTGTCCTCAAAGCTATTTAATGTAAAGAATCTGAGTTTAAAAGTCACCTATATTATTAAAAAACAAAAAAATTAAATTAGAATATTTTTTGTTTAAACTTGATTTAAAGCAAACATAAAGGTCATTAATTCTAATACAAAACGCTTAATACTCGTTAGTGGCTTGTTAAACGTGATTCATAACAAACACTTATCTTTCAAATTAAAAATGCAAGTTACTCTTTAAAATTTGTTATTCAATTTTTTATTCAGGTAGTTGAATTACATTCAGTTCTCGACGTATTGGGCTACAAAATACTCTTATTGGGTTTATTGTATTGGGCTTCAAAATATCCACGTTAAATGGGCTTCAAAATACTCTTTTTAATATATCCCTAACCCGAAAACTAGTTAGTGTCACTCTTTTAAGATTGATATGGGTAAAAACAGTTTAATTTTAATTTGAAGTTATATGTTTAAGATGTTTAGTAACTGTTGACAAAAATTTCGACAATAAATTTTAGTTTTTGATTTTCATTATTGAGATCTCAAAAATGTGTCATAAGTTGATTTTTTTAAATTAGTTCAATTATGACTTTAGTTAAAAAACTAAAAAATTCCACTTGATTCCACGGTAGTTTTAATATTTTCCCATTAATGGGTTTATATGAAAGGAGAAAAAATACAAATCATATTCTCAAATTTACCTTTTATAAAAATTTTCGTATATTTTTCTTCCGTTTTTATTTAAAACTTGCCTATAGTAAAGTAGCGAACAATAGTTCATTACTTAGTAAGAATTTTAGCCAATCACGGCATCACAAAATCAATTTTTTTAGCCAATCACGGCATCACAAAAAATAAACAAACTGAGCGTTTATTAGTATAAAGTTTTTAATAATAGCATATCTTTAGTTTAACTTTGTTTTATCGGTTATTTTTGGTTAAATTTATGTTAAATATAGTTTCCTATATATATTCTAATCAATTAAATTGTTTTTAATTTAAAACTTTATAATATATATATATATATATATATATATATATATATATATATATATATATATATATATATATATATATATATATATATATATATATATATATATATATATATATATATATATACATATATATATATATATATATATATATATATATATATATATATATTTAATATATATATATATATATATATATATATATATATATATATATATATATATATATATATATATATATATATATATATATATATATATATATATATATATATATAATCATATATAGCATATATGATTATATATATATATATATATATATATATATATATATATATATATATATATATATATATTTATATATAATCATATATAGCATTATTCTTTACATAAATTTAATAAAAATAATAGACTTTCTAATTTAAATTTTTATGAAACCACACATAACCAGAAAGTTTAATAATAAACGCTTATTTTGTTTACTTTATTTGACCTACAACATGGCACAGCTTGAGCGTTAATTATGTTGTGCCATCGTCTGAAAAATATCCATACATTTAGTTCAAATAATTCACGAGTTAGGAATAAATCACGATAATTTACTTGAGGCTCATCTACATGAGTTTTGTAGACTGGAGGGTCTATACATAAAAGTATTGACAAACTTGAAATAATAAATTTAAAAACTCTAATAATATTTACAAGTAAACTCTGATCAAGACTGAGGAAAGATTCATGAATCTTTTCTAGACTTTTAGAACAAAATCGAACTTGGTTAGACAAAGATGTAACTATTGGCAAAAATCCCTTTGCAGCAGGTCCAGGTAGAAAGTGAAAGAACTGGGAAGTTTAAGGTGGTAATAGCAGAAGATCTAAGGTAATAATAAATTAATTAAATTGAACCCAGTTTAAAAAATAGTTTACAAGCTTAAATATTAAATATTATCTTGTTTAAGGTTGTCAAATTGGCTGAACATCCTGCTGAAGCATTGGCATTAGCTTCAACAAAAAAAGCCACTAGAGATCCTAACAAAAAAAACTTTGTTGTTCTCATGAAAAGTGCTACAAACTCTATAAAAGGTAAAATCACGGAGATAAATTTTCCGATAAAAATCAAAACCGAAAATGCCTTGAGCTTAAAAATTCAGTCGAACGTTTCTGATAAACAGTATTAAATTATTAGAAATCTATCGATAATAAATAATGCAGGTATTTATCCTTCACTTCATAAAATTAAGAATGAGAAACACAAATGTTATCCTGAGGGTTTAATTGTGACAGAAACATCTGCTTCAATTCTTCTACAGGGTATGTTAAATCATACTCTGACAAAGATATTAAATTTTACGGAATGCTAAGACTCTATGAGAATGTTTGCTGAAGTTGGGGGGAGCTTTAAAGGTCTACTTCAATTTAAAGGCGGTTTGATGGTGCTTTCAGTCAAATTGTCTATAAACAAAAATATACTGATGCAAATATTGGCGAGGCCCAAGTTAACGAGCAAAGTCTTTTCCTGACAGCTATTGTTCCACTTAAATTAACCATCATGAATAACAATGTATGGTTAAATAAGAAGCCCTCTAGTACACATTACTGTATACCCCTACATCTCCAATATCAAAATGAAACGGAAGAATTGATAAGAAATGAGTATGAACATTTAAAAGGAGAAAGTTTAAAAATAAACAGACTAGTCGAGTTTGAAGTAAAGTTAGAAGTAGAGAAAGACAAACCGGATACGACTATCAGATCTAAGTTTAAACTAGATTTAATCATTTAAACTGTCATGAATTGAACTGTGTTATGAGTTGAACTCTGAAAATTTGGGTCAGTATTGCTATGAAACTACAGCTCTTATACTCAAAAACTATTGCTGGTATGTGATTCCCCAACCTGTTCATAAACTCTTGGAACATGGTGTGCAGCTATCTGATACATTAGTAATGCCAATTGGTTACTACTACTCTAAAGAATCAAAAGAGGATCTAAATATGGAAAGTCGCAAACCTAGATTAAACCAAGATATCCAGAAAGAATGTTATGAAAAACCAGTACCAATGCCTGTTGATTAGAAGTAATCCTGTAATATCAAACATTTGTTTCAAAAAATACAAGGTTAAAAATGGAAAAACACTTACCCCTGAAGTTTTACCTTTGTTAATGCTGTAATAGTAAAATAAAGCTTTTTTAGCAATATTAGGTTTTCTTTTTTTTTTCTTGAAAGAAAAAGGAGATAAGATAAATATTTATTTTGTATTTAGTATATGTAATACTATTATAATATCAGAAGATATTTTAAATCCAATTTATCTTTTTAATTAGTGAATATTACGATTTGAAGGATTTTTATTTTTTAAAATTAAGTGAGTCTTTGTGCGCGTAAAAGGCACCAACATGTATACGCGTGTGTAGAAAGAGCCTTCGGTGCAAGAAAAATTTACATTAAAATTATGTAATATTATTTTATATGGTATTTTGGACCAAGGAATCCGATATTTTTTATTTAAATTAAATTTTGCGCGCATAAAGGACAGTTACACTTGTAAGTACGATAGTCTTGATGTATCACATGTTTTACATGATATTTATATAATTTTTGTCTTTTTTCACCATACTGACTCAATTGGCAAACCAAGATTAGGTGAGTTTAAGATGAACGAAGTATTTTAGAATGAAAACCAGAAGAAGTCTAGTTAAAAAGTTAACATAAAGCAAACAAACAGATAATGTATTGGATGTTTAAGTTTGCAAATATAAACAGTCGGTTATAACTAATTATTGTACTTGATTGAATTCAGTTCAATAAAAAAAGTTGTCCGTCATCCTGCTACGTGCCTTAGTGACGTCTTCATAATAAAATAAAAGATATAATTGTATAAAATAAAAAAACTAAATAAAAATCGTTTTACAAAAATGTCTTTGGGACCCGTAATTATACAAAAAACACATTAAAGTATCTTTTAAAAATATAAAAATTAGTTTAAGAAAAATAGAAAAAAAATTATACGATGTAAACATCTTCTATCAAATTGAAATTTCCATTTTTAAAAATGTTTCTAATTCATTTAACTTCGTCTTGTGTATTTTGTTGTGTAAACATGAGTAACTCATTTGTAATTGGTTTTTGAATTTTCCCATCAAATGTTTTCAATACGTATTTTGTTTTCATATTAACATCTCATTCTGTAAAATATATTTTAACAATAAGATTTTCTAATAAAAAACGTTTATAAAGTTTCTGGTCTACATTTATTTCAAATCCAAATAGAAAAAAAATTGTTAGAATAAAGATATTTGGTAGGGTAGAGCTGGTCTAAAATATCTAAACTATTCAATGTTTGTGGCTGCATTTTTTTGCATAGGTATATTTTATGGGCAGCATTTTCATTTTTTATTTTACACTCGGGACAAAGTTTTTCTTTTCTAATCTTAAAATCAAACATTTCTTAGTAGGTGGGCAACGTAAAATTTGCTGTTTTGAAGATAATTTCGCTAGCTTTATCGTTGGTGTTTCTTTTATAAAGATTTAGGAAGGAATGCTTCCAATCTTTTTTATTAAAACTTTCTGTGCCTCCAAAAGGTCCTTCATAATTATAAAACTTACAATTTGGATTTTTTTGTATTGTTTTATTTAATAATTTATGTAAAGTTAAAACTGTTAGATTTTTATATTCGCACTTGGTTTTCTTTTGGCTAAGAAAACTTTTTTATAACAACAATTATGATGCTCCGCCGAAATTTTTTTTGCCATTTCCTTGGTAAAGCTTTTGTAATATTTTCTAACTCATTTTTAATCAAGCCTATGTTTTTATGGTGTAAAAAACGATGCTAAAAGGTTTTAGTTACATCGGCTACTAATACAATTTTTTACGTTTTTTATTAATCGTAAAAAACAATTTTTTAATCGTTTTTTACGTTTGTTCTTTTTTTAACACAATTTTTAATCATTTTGTTAAAAAAAGAGTGCGGTTTAAATTTTTGTTAAAGATAAACTATATTTTTGTTTTAAATTATGACAATTGACTTAAAGCTAAGAGTAAAAAGGGGGTAACAGACAGCTCTGAGAAGGAATAGTTTCACAAAAGTGTTTGCTTTGGTTTGCATTTCTATAGTTGTTTAGTTTATCAACCATTGCATTCTTCCAAGGTCCATCTAAATTTTCATTGTAAAAATTGCTTGCCCATTGCAATAGAAAAGTCTTAAGTTTGTTGATTAAGCTGTTTTTCCTTCGCTCGGTTGGGGTGCTACAAAAGCTAAGTGTAATACTTGCGGTATTACTGAAGAGTTTTTGATTGTTTTTCTGCTTTTTAAAAATAATTTGTATTTTTATAATTTTTCCAAAAAGCTTCTCATTTTGCTAAAACGCTCCTTTCATTAAATATCGTATACACTTTCGCCGAAAGTGTGGAGTTTTCCTCCACACCGGTGTATAGCTTTCACTCTTAGACACAAGAGTGGAGTTATTTTGCACACTTTTATGGAAATTAACTTTTTCTAACTCAACTTCTGTACAAAAGTGAGGAATAATTTGCACAAAATTGTGCAAAATAACTCCACACATGTGTCTAGGAGTATAGCTACACACCGGTGCGGAGGAAAACTTCACAATTTCCGCTAGTGTGTTGGAAGTTTCCCTTATTTGAAAAAATATATTCTTAAGCTTTTAAAAGAGTTCTCGTCATAATTGAATCTTTTGAAAATATTTTTTATCTAAACATACGTCTAAACATTTGGTAAGATTTATTTTAGCACCTATGGCTTTTTAATTGAGCTTTAATGCGTCTTCTACTTCACTAAAGGGATTCAATGCTGATAATGTCTAGTTTGTAGCTGAGATTAAAACATGTTGTTCTATTTTTAATACACCCTGTTTGGTTGCTAACAAGTGGGCACGGTAACGTTCAGAAAGCATTATTTAGTCATGTATTGGAAACGTTTATTGTTGTGCTTTTTTTGTTTTAAGTAAATGGTGAAGGGAAGGTTTTAATATGCGTTTAAAAAGTGACTTTGGATTGAATGCGTTTATTTTAGGAGCTTTTTCCGCCCAAATACAATAGTTTGACAGTATCGAATCATTAATTTCAACCCTTTATTTCGTATTTACATTTTTACAACTTATTGTAATAAGTTTTAAAAAAATGAATAAAAATATTAGTTTGAAATAATTGGTTGCAAAATATCAAACAGTTACATTTGGATAGAATATGGTTTTTAAGAAGGAAAAATATCTTCCATATATAGTTTTTTAATTAATCAATGTTTTAATTGTAAAATATCTTAAGTTATACTAAAAGACATGTTTGTAATTTTAGTTATAATGGCGAAAACTATTAAGGAATTAATAACACAACAATTATTTAACACACAAGTTCGATGTTAATGAGATTTACAAAGTTAAATGTTTTTTTATAGTGACCACACAACATAAACCTAGCATTAGAATAACGTTAACTAAACGTTGCAAAGTTGGTACAGCATTAATTCAATATTGATTTGACGTTCGCTGTCAAGAACTTTGTACATGTAAATAGCATTAAAAAATTATTTTCCGAATTTTCCAACCTTGCTAAATTTAGAAAAAAAATTTATACCTAAATTGACATTGTCTCCCCTAAATCCTTGTTTATCATTGATTCTTGTGTATTGGAATCGAATTGTTTCAGTTGAATGACTTTAAAAAATATACATAAAAAAGCAGAATTATGGAGAAAGCTACTAAACCACTCATACTTTGATTTAAGATAAATTAGTTAGAAATTTATTTTGGTTGCTGCAAAATTCTGCATTTGTAATAAAATCCTAAATTTTACATTGTTACATATGTAAAAATAAATTTTGCATAAATAACTTTTGCAATAAATGTGATAGACTCATGCTTTCCTATGTTTAGTATGTTTAAAATTTTCGCTTCCAACAAGGCTTCAAGCAACCACTAACTTGAGTTGAAAGTTATTGGAAAAGAGTAGATTAAGATTGTGGAGCATGATAAAGAGTGCTAGACGACTTGAAGAATTGCAAATTATTTGAATCAGGAAAATAATTTGAAGGAGGCGACTTCCAAAGGATTTATATTCGAGGAAAAAAACTAGACGAATAAAAATTTTGCAGCACTAGGAAAAGTTACAGAAAAAGGATGAGACTTAATTAAATGACGAATAACACGAGGATGAATTTGAGTAGATAGCACAAGAGACTTTAGAGCAGTGCCCATTACAGTATTTGTAAAAAAGAAAAAGAAAAGCAACATTACAATGATGTTACAACGGTTGGAGGTTGGCTGCAAGAACAGGTCCAACTATGTTTACATATACGTTTTTGAACCTCGTCTAAAAGAGAAAGGGCATCATAAGTAATAGTTAATCCTAGAAGTAGGAGAGTAGATGACTTATCGAGTACATTACCCTTCATAAATAAAAGAAGATCTATATTATTGCGATAACGATTGGCAGAAAAAAATTGAGTTTTATCTTAATTAAATTTCACCTGTCACTGTGAGCCCCATGATGTAGCAGAAGTGACATTCTTTTCAAGCTCAAATAGCGACTCAAACCAATCAGAGAGTGTTGGCTTTTTAACATGACACGAATAAATGTTAATATCATCAGCAAATAATGCCAACTCAAACATAAGAATATCTGGAAGTTCGTGAATATAAATTAATTAGAGTATAGGGTTAAGGATTAAACCTTAAGGAAACCCTGAAGTTACAGAATAAGGAGAAGAGTGCTGTCCATTAAGGGTGACTTTTATACTACGATTGGAAAAAAAGGATTCAATGATCTCAAAGATATTACCAGATACACCATAAGAAGAAAGCTTATAGAGAAAACCCGCATGCCGAACTTTATCAAAAGCCTAAGAAATGTCATGAGCGATAGCCTTAACCTCTCCGCCTTTATATAATTATCTATTATTTATAACTATCGGTTATTACTGTTAGAAAATTAGCTGTAGAACGAGAAAAATAAAATCCAAAAGTTATTTGATTCAAGATGAGAAAATATTTGTTTGTTAATTAGAGATTCAAAAACTTTGCTTATGATAGCAAGAAGACTGATGTGACGGTAGTTAGACGAATCAGATTGCTTCCAGATTTTTTGAAAATAGGGATAACAGATGCCGCTTTCCAGCAGGCTTGAAAACAAGACTCTGATAAGCACTTGTTGAATAGTTTTGAAAGTATAGACATCAGCT